GGGGGGAGGGGGCGGGTACAGCTGGCTCTGCCTCTAGATAGGCAGAGCCAGCTGTCACTCACGCAGCTGGGCGGATCTCGACATCGATGTCGGGATCCGCTCCGGCTGCGGCGTCTCAGTATATAGCTGTAGCTCGCGGTATACTGAGCTTAGGGTAACGGGAGGACGCTAGTTTGTGTCCTTCCGTTACCCTAAGGAGAACTATTGGGAAAAGCCCTGACCCCATAGTTCTCCTTTAATTGTTTTATTTATTTAGTATTCTGAGCTAATTATTAGCTCTACCATTTACACTTCAGAGTTATTTCCGTGTCTCTGCAGGAAACGGACAATAAAACGGGAGCGACCTTTGTGTCCAGGACCATCGTATCGTCACTGCAAAGTGGGGGCAAGAGAGAGCATGTGAGTCATTGTTACACGCGTACCAAGCATTATGTTTTGTATTGATGGTGATGCCCAGCTGAAAGTTTTATGTTTTATTTAGAATGTAACTCCATGCTGACCATCTGTCAGGTGTTATAACCGTGTCCCCACAAAGTTTCTGCATTTCCTGTCCCCAGAAACAGGACATAAGTGGAGATCTCCCTAAAATTAGGGAAATTCCACCTCTGACAGTTGACCCTGGAAAAGGTGTCAAAGATTTCCTGTGCCAGTGATGGCTGTAAGATTTTGGATTCACCATCTACCACCATTTCCCCACCAAAGACCAAAGTCCAAAGGACAAATAAAGAGGTTAGATCTCCCCAACGGGGGCATGGACAACAATAGGAACTTCAGAAGGCCAATGAAAGATAGTGCTGGGTCTCAGTGGGATAGATTGTCCGATAAGACGTTCCAGAGATAAATAAGGTAGATAGAGATGAATCCAACTCTAGGTGATCTTGATGTGTTTGGAATCTGGGATGTGACCATATACTGTAGAAAAGACTTTCCACAAGATTATGGGGGTTTTCTTGGAAGTTGTGTCCATTTGTGAGGCAAAGTATTGATGTTTGTTGAGAAGACCTGGTTCACAATGGACTTTCTAATTCATCCTGAAGGTCTTCAGTAGGGTTGAGGTCAGGGTTTTGTGCAGGACATTTGAGTTCCTCCACATCAAACTGATGAAACCATGTTGGATGAGAAGACCTGACTCACAGGAGTGAGAGCAATAATCCTAGGGCCAGTATTTTGGGGTATTTCTAAATTGATGACCTGTGTGGGCTTTTAAAGTGTCTTTTATTGACTTTTTGGGGTACTGCAGTTTTTCGCCGTTTCACGGTCGCACGCAATCTGTAAACTGGGCATGTTGGGTATCGTTTTACTCGTTGTAACCTCATCTTTTATATTTCATTTAAAAAATGGGTAATTTGTTGTGTTTTGGGGCATTTAATTAAATTTGTCACTAAATTTTGGGGTTTAATAAGGAGTTGCGCTAATATGGCGCAACATAAAAATTTTCAACTACCACCATTTTATTCTATAGGGTCTTGGCATTCAGAAAATATATAATGTTGGGGGGTTTTACGTCATTTTCAGGCCTAAAATGTGGAATATAACATGGGTGCAAAAATTGAAAAAAGGGCCTCAGTCATGAAGGGGTTAAAACAGAGATGTACAAATCCCAGGAGCTCCGTGTGCTCCTTACACATGACAGCTGCCTCCTAAGTTTTGAATTTGTCTCTAGTCTAGTCTTGGAGCTCAAAAGTATCGGTACTTGTACTCGTACTTGTACTGAGTACTGTACTTGGTATCTGTGCAAACCTAATATTTTGCTTGTCCACCAATTTGTCATTCTGATGCTCCAAGTTCTCCAGAAGTGTACAATGCCTGCCTGCTCCCCTGCATGTCATGGTCCTGTCCAGCAGGCCCTACGTCACTAGAGTTCTGCAGGGATATAGTAGCAACATAGTGCCTGGCAGAAGGAACAGCAACATACAACATGGGACCTAAGCATCATCAAACACCCCCCGTGTTAAAAATTCTTGTCCAGTGTAGCTCTTTAAGAGAAGACTAATTCATCTCCTTGGAATCCACCCAAAATTGAGCTTTCCTTGAATGGCACCTGCAGATGTCGTTTTTTAAGGATGAATTTCCTCTGTCATGTCTTCCGGTCATAACTCATCTTGTGTTTATTGAGGGATCGGCGCTGATCCTTTCTGTCTCTGCGGTCAGTCAGGTGGAATGTTGTCTCTCCCTTTATATACAGAGCACCATTCTCCAGTTATTGTGATTTATCAGTTCATTAAACATGACATCACTTGTGTTTTATATATAGAAAAAATACATTGGATTATCTCAGTCTGTTATGGGCAATGTTTTTATACAATGTTATATATGAAATGTCTCCAGTAATATTGATGTTTTCTGGCACCTTT